TGTCCTGAGGGTGGGTCACTACCCTGCCAGCTGTGTGCCAAAGAACTGTACAGACAACTTATGTTTCACACGGGCTTTGCACGACTTTAGAAGGACAGGAGTCGAGATTTCGCACCACGACCAAGAGGAAGTGTCCATTTGACTGTTCGCCACATTGATGCTGTGTACTCCTGTTGGCTAAGCTGTTTTGGAGTACACTTTGGCCCTCTGGAGCCACCTCCCTCCCTCGTGGAGGGAGACACTGGCAACTACTTTGTGGCTTGCACAACACCTTGGCCCTGGTCGCAGAAGCAGTCGCATGATCACATAATCACACAGCGCACAGTCCACTTTGGCGACTCTGTGCTCTTTCGTTTGTCGAGTCTGAGCTTTTGTCCCCTTTGGTTTTCCAATGATATCCCCCAAGCTGTGAGACTTGTGCACCTTGACTCGCGCTCTTTTGACTTACCAGCAAGTTTCAAAAAATCAAAAAGAAGAGTGCCAAATCCAGATGCTAAATTGTCATCCGCTAATCAAGACGAGCGGTATGAGCACTTCTTTAAACAGTGCTCACGACACAGGCCTGCTGTGACAGGCCTATCGCATACCGCTTTTGTTGACGCAATCCATTGCATCGCACTATGCACCAGTTGCCCTTCGACCTTTTTTGTTGCCTTAATTAATCGCCCAACACAACCTCGCAATTGTGTCCTTACGTTTCACTTGGGTTTCACCCTTTGCATGTACATTGCAGAGTCTCCAACGTGCTCGGTTTTTGGTTTTGGCTGTTTCGGTTGTTTTTGGGGCTTTGTTTTGTTTGGTTTCTGGTTGCCCTTTGGAGACTCTTCCTAGAAAAATCGCACAAGCTGACCTGTGCATCTTCTGCATGAACGGCGGCTCCACTCGTGCAAAAAAAACTCGGCAACACAGTGTAAATGTTGTGACCTGGAAGATCAACAGGCAGTTTGGGATTCTGTGAGGCATTGAACTGAACCTGATAGACTGCCTGCACAGCCATTTGTTCTGACCCTACTGCCAGGTCGGTCAGTATGGTGCCTGCCTGCTCAACCTCCTCATTCGGGGGTTCTTCTTTCAGCAAGATTGATTTCTTTCACTTCTTGTGCCAGATCCATTGCATCTGGCATTTCAGGATCAGCAGCAGTAGCAGCCCGCACGGAGGAGGCCGGCTCGCGGCGGGAGGAGCAAGTCGGATCCAAAGCTTCCGAAACTCTTCGAAGCACAAAGTTCCGACAAGGAACGCTTGCTCAAGCATTGAAAAAACCTCACAGCTGAGGCTTCGCAAAGCACTTGGACATGAACGCCACTGTTCTCAAAACAGTTGCTCTGACACAGGTGGTTGCAAACCGACCTCGCCACCAGTGCACGGTCAAACACTTTCACACCCTTTCGAGGTCAAGTGTCAACATCATTCTGCTGCTTGGGACTCTTCTCATGCCTCGTCTTCACCATTGTCCTGAACGGAAAAAGAGTGAGCTGTACGAGTTCCTCTTTCGTCCTTTGCGGTTTCAACCGAGCAACAATGTAGCGGTCACTCGTGATAGCGCATATACTTTTTGGCGAAAAACATTGGTCTAAAACATTGGCAACTCATTCATTTGTGTTGATGTCTTGTTGATGTTCTTGAATGTCCATTTCGACATGTCACACAGTACACCAATGCTTCAAGGTGTTCTCTGTTTTTGATTCACTGTCTGGCCGACCCATGCCCACCCTGTGACGCTTTCGCTGCACACCCCAAAGCAGATTTCGATGCCGGTCTTTCCAGACCTTTTCACCCGTTTGCAGCCACACCCAAGGCCAGGTGATGAGCAACATCTCGAACCTCCCCATTGCCCGGAGTGGAAAAAGAGTGTGCTGTGCGTGTTTCTTCTTTCTTCCTTTGCGGCCTCAGGCGAGAAATCGGTGAACACGACTTTTGCCAGCGCGTTTGGCACGTCACGCATGGTGACGACAGTGTGCCGCATGTTGTTTGGATCAACCAAAAAACACGATTAAAATCCGTCCAACTTTTGTTGTCGATTAAACGGCTTGAATTTCACAGAATCAGCGGTGTTGTTTTCGAAGGAAAACTTGAGAGTGGTGGCCATCGGGAAGCAAGTGAAGTCAATCTTTCATGGGAGGAAATCGTGCCCACTTGCAAAGGGCTGTGAGCTGCTGGAAGATCCTGCACGCACAAGTGGCAATTGGTCGTGCAAAATACATGGCCAACAATTGAGGTTCTGAGTTCTGACAATACATGGCCAATACCTTTTTGGACCCAGGTCTTGACTGCAAGACCTGCACCCGGAGCGACGCTCGTCGCTCCGCTGGCACTTTGTTTTGATCACAGCTTTTGCCTGCAACCTTGAAAATCCAATTACTCGTTTGCAACTTCTGCGTTGGCTGGGAGGACCCAACGAAAGACCCGACCAACGAAAGCCTGCTGAACGATTTGTCAGTTTGCACATCCCAAACCCACTTGCGGGTACATGCTTGTACTCTTCAGTGTGCACCGAAAATTGAGGACACGGTGCGTGGGGTCTATTTTTTCTATTTTTTCATTACGGACGCATTCTTTGCGGACGCAAACAATTGGGGCGGGGTTGTGTAGGCCGCTGCACACCTCGGCTCACTCGGTCGCGCAGAAGGCCCGATGACTTCCAGGCGCCGGTTCTCGGTCGGTTTGGTGGGGTTCTTTCGAGGCCCGAACACCGTCCTGGGAGTTCTCCAAGTCCCATGGATTCAGAATGGATGGGACAAACCTCATTCTCTTTGTGGTCAGATTCGTTGGGTGAGGCTTTTGTATAGCCGACTCAGTTGACGCGATTCTCTGTGATAACTTTAATTTGAAACATTTTTTAAGATATAAGAAGGTTTCCAAATGTTTGAGTGCTTTGGTGAGTGTGAGTCTTTCAAAGATTTCACAACCTAGACAACTGTTCATGTCAGACGAATCGGCCAAAAGAGACTGACATCCACATTCTTTCGCAGTACGCTTCAATCTAAGAATCTAGGATCGACCATGCCCAAACCCGACTCCCAAAGAGGACATCTCTTTGTTGTGTAGCTGGGGATGTTGAGGCTCCTTGTTTCAGCTGGTCTTCGTCAAAAGAACAACTGCAAAAACGTGCAAAACCTGCAAAAACGATAGGCCCCCCCTCAAAAGCGATAACCTTGCTGAATCATGTCCTTTGCTTGACAGTACGTTTTGGCAGATGCTCAAATGACCCGTGAATCTTTGAACTTCATGTGCTCTGCCGGTAGAATGGACCACTGTCATTTGGAACCTTGCCTTGGCCCGGCCAAAGCGACTCCCAGCCGTCACTCGGACAGTGGTTTTGAGGACTTCCGTGGCCATGGCGCTGGGCGCCACCGTTGGCGCAGGTTGGTCCTTGCAGGCAGGAATGGGGGCAGGAAGCAGTGGTCTATTCGCTCCAACAAGGTGAGACCTCTTCCCTGTGTATGTGTTCGAGCCAACATTTGGCTTTCAATCGACCAATTTTCGATCTTAAAACATGTGGGAGTGCCAACATGCACCCAAAAAGTGACCCAAGAGTCATCAGAATGCTCAAAGAAAGACATCATTTCGAAGGCTTTTCCTCTGCTTGGAACCTGCCTGCAGCGCCAGCTTTTCGGTTTGGAAGGCCTTCTTGGCGCCGACCACCGGAGCGTCACCAGTGACGCCCACCCCCATGCTGCGTGGTGCAGCCGCGGGTGCGTCGGCAGAGGGACGCCCGGTCGGGGAGGTGCCATGGGCTCGGTCGCTGGTCTTGTTGGGTTGAAGATGGGTCTTGCCATGATAGCGAACGAACAAACGAACGAACGAATGAATGATTGCATCGATGATTACCCTTGGAACATGATTGAGGCTCAAACACTCCAAGGGCTCTGAAATGGTCCGGACGAACGAAGTCTGTGAAATTTGGAGCAGATGCCCTCCGAAGTCCCATTCCAAGTAGTCGAAGGAGAATGATCCCCACGATTGTGCAAACCTGTGCGATTTGACCTTGCTGGGCAAACTGAGGGTCATTGTTCGTGGAGAATGAAGGTTCCTCACCCCAAGCAACAGTCAAAGCAGCCAGGACTGGCGCTGACTAGAGAATGAGGAACTGAATGGCAGGTGGCATTTGTCTAAGTTTCACACACCATTTGCCCCATTTTGCACCCGTTTCACGTTCCTTCTCGCTTAAAGGATGCATCCCATAGAGCACCGAGCTGCGGAAAGGTCCCGGGTGCCAGGCAAGTCTCTCCGGGCACCAACGGGGGTCGTGTTCGGTGCCACGGACGCCTTTGGGCTTCATGGGGTGCCGCAGGTCGCAGCGGCCGCGGTCTGCACAGCAGCCCTGGCCTTGGCGCACCAGCGCAGGACCAGCAAGCTGGCGCGCAAGGCGGAGGTGGGACCGGTGGGAAAGAGATGGGGTGGGCTTCTGTGGAAATATGCATGTCACAAGAGATGTGAGGCTTTACACATTCCGTGGATTGGTGCTGTTAGTGTTGTTGTTTGTTGTGTTAGTCGATTTTTTTGTCCGGGGTTCGCGTTTGCAGTTGACAGTTCTCGGCGTGTGGAGCATTTATCATTCTGTAAGTGGAAAAGAGAAAGAAAGGCAGTTCCTGGGGTGGCATGAAATACTGAGTGTCGCCGTGGCGAACGGCAGATCTGGGACGGGTGGGCGACCAGACCATGACTCTCCAGACCAGGCCTTCAGACATAAACATCTGCCGTTCGAGTCGAGAGCTAGAAATAGTATTGCCTCGATTCCTTTTGGTTCGGCTGGGGTCTATGCCCATCATGTAGACTCTTGATGAATCACCGCCCCATATCAACCCAAACGGGTGTCTTTTAATCAAGAGTCAACATTAGGTGGTTGGAACATGTTGGAACATGTTGGATGGGATTTCCACGCGAGAGACTCCAGCGGTGGATTGGTGATAGCAAAAGCCTAGATGGAGAACTCCCTCGACGACTTGGAAGATTCGGAAAGTGCTCTAGTATAATTCACCATGTTGGGTATTCACACGAAATGGAAACATATCTGTTTCAATCGAATCCCTGCAACGCTGGCAACGAGTTGGCCTTGGGACATCTACACCTTTTGTTGTTTCGTTTTGGTCCCTCACAGCTGATCTGCCAGGAGAAGCCCTTTGCAGGTGGCCTGATTGGTGGCGAGTCCGCCTTCTCGGGGCAGGAGCGACCCCTCAGATCGGTGACGGGCGAGCCCAAGTCCCACTTCCGACTCATTTCTTTGCTGCCGGACCTTGGTGTGGGTCGTTTTTTGGTTTCGCAATTCTTTTCCAACTTGCCTGGGTCGGGTATTTGGACGTTCTGTCAAGTACCTCTTCGGGCTGGACCAGCTTGTGGCGCTTGAAGTGGCCCGAAGTGGCCCGCTTCGACGCCTTCGGACCGGGCGACGCAGCACACACCACTCCCCGGCCTTCGACCCGTCCTGGGAGGCCTTCAACTTCGACCCCCTGGGGCTCTCCGTGAAGTGCGAGAAGTACCTCCCATGGTTCCGCGAGGTGAGTGCGAGTCTGGAGCTGTGCGTTTTGGAGTGGAGGTTCGAAATCGAAGGACACCAGGCACCGGTCAGTCAAGAGCTCGGGTGAAAAAACCACATGCAGTTTCCCTGAATAAATCGAAGATCAAATTGCCAAGGCGGACTTTCGACGGAGATCGTTCTTGCAAAAACGTTGTTCCCCAAAAACAGAATCGTCTCCCTGTCCTGCTCGTTGGGTGCTGAATTCACAGACTGGACACTTCCATCTTGAGATCAACAGCCCTGTTTCGCTCCAGGTTTCGGAAGCACCAGGTATGGACTAGACTTCTGCTGCTCCACTCGTTGTTGTTTTTTGACCTCTGACCTGATGCCACGCTGCTCAACTAGGAGTTGCAACTCCCTTCCAACACTCCCTCCTAGAGTCCTTACTTACAAAAGGTCCACAACAGACGTTGAGAGAGTCCAGATTCTCAATGGTGGTTGAAGGCCTCCGAGTGCAGATAGAAGGCTTTCTGCACCGATTCACCGCAGGACACATAGTAGGCGGACGTACCATTCCTACGAATGGAGGGACTTGCCCCAGACCTGTGGTGACATACTCACATGCCCACACAGAGGCCATGAACGCTCTGCCGGACCGTTGACGCAGCAGGGTCAACTCAGGGTTGTTCAAAGGGTATCCTTCACAGATCGGATGTTAGCAAGGCGTTACCTTGAGCCTCGACGTGCTTGCTTTATTGGGATCCGAAACGTCCGCCCTTCGCCCCGCCCGCGACGGTTCGCCCCCCCGTCACACCCCATGACACAGGAGGACCGCCCCCCGTTCACACCGCCACAGGCGGAGCTGAAGCACGGGCGCATTGCCATGTTGGCCTGGGTCGGCTTGGTGGTGCCGGAGTTCGTCCGCATTCCAGGCCGATCTGGATGGGGGAGAAGCTGTAGGGTCTGGGGGGGCAGGTCTGGGGGACCTGCCGAGCTGGGCACCGGAGCTTTTGGTCACTACTTGGGCTGGTGGGAGGGGGGCTTTTGTTAGACAGGGGTTGCTGAAGGCACGAAGGGTTGGAGGATGCGGCTTGAGAGTTGGCTGAATGGGAGGCGCTCGGAAAAGTGAACGTCAGAGATGATTGAACGTGGGTCCGGCATTGGATCCGGAGCTCCTTCACCAATGAGCAAGAAAGAGTATTACATTGATGACTACCTCTCTATTTTCTGCGTAGTACCCTCCATTTGACGGACACTTCGTCAATGTCTGAATGATGGTTGGCGGCGGTCCTTTTCAATTCAAATCCATGCTGAAACTCTTTGGCCCTACAAATGTTCCACCCTGCCGTAGAATCAGGGGTCGAAAGAATCTATCATGATTTTTGTGTTCATAGTTGTTCATCTACTTCTCTTTAATTTTTCCTATTACAGCTTGATCAAAAATTCATTTCTGTGTAGTGGCTGAGGCTGTGCGAGGACTTGAAACATAGGAATGCATAGGCACCAAAGCATGATCTCCTGAACAAGAAGACCAAGCCAGCCACACACCTCTCCATTTTCACCCGAGATGCGCATGGCCGCTTTCCAGGCCCTGACGCGTGCTATGGTGCAAAGAATGTGGTCGAAGCGCACAACGCCTGCGCTGGCGATCCCTACTTCCCCTTTGTCATCAACTCCACTGTGACCTGACGAAGAACGTGACAGGGACCGGTCTCCTTGACCCAAGGGACCCTGCGGAGTCCCGAGGGTTGAGTCTTTTTGGACTGTGCGCTGCCCTGTGGCCTTTTTGGTGCCACAGGGCCAGTTGACTGGATTTATTCTTAGGGAAGTGTTTTAGATCTTGGGGCCTTTAGGGGGTGAGAAAATGGGTCAAAAGCAGCTGGTGTTCTCAAACCACGTTGTCATTTAAAGGAAATCATCAAGTCTGCCAGCTCCCCCTTGGCCACTTCTGCCTCCGGAAGCTGCCAGTTCGGTTTCCTCCCAGGACTTCTACGGCACCAGCGGCCACCAGGTGGGCCCTCTCTTCCAGGTGCGCCCTGGCCCGGGAGGGTGGGACCATCCTCGGCCGTCCGCGCGGCGTTCCTCCGCGGCGAGCCACGGAGGTCTTCGCCTTCTGCGGGCTGGTGGAGATGCTGACGACCTTCGCCGCTGGGTGAAAGGGGTGGAGAGGTCAGGGAAGCAGGTGACAGGGTGGTTAGAACGGTTAGGAGTTGAGAAAGTGAGCCAGCTGAGGCAAAGACCAGCAACATCTCCAACAAGCCTGGGCTGACCCTTGAGAATGCAGGAGGGGTGGTGGGCGGCACAGCGGCAGTCATGGGACGTGTGGATTGCAAGGTCAAGTGTGCTTGACTTTCACTCAGGGTGATTCGTATACCAATTCCTCCAACTCTTGAATCTTCTTCCAGGTGCCTTGAGAGAGAGTGTGTCTGTGTTTCGAGATTTCAGTCTTGGTGTTTTTGGACAGCAATGGGTCACGAAGGACCGGTGATGCCGGTGTTGGGACCGGTGCCCGCTGACCTGGGGCGGAACAGGGACGAGTGGGTGGTGTGGGCAGCAGCTTGAACTGAACTTGAAATAAGACGTGTACCAATGGGATCAATGGGAACCTCTGACTGCTGACCTCCGTTGCGGGTCTCTTGCTGGATGTATTCAGCCGTGTTGCGTTGTTGCATTGCGTTCTGCCCGCAGACTCGATCGCTCTGACGATCAAAGAACTGAACACATCCGACCGAAGGCACGATCAGAACTGTTCCACACCGATGCACCCCTAAGCACCCTGGCGCCCCTAAGTCCCTAAGCACCCATGCACAAAAGAGTTCGCCCTCCGCGCAGGAGATTACCGCCTGGGTTTGAACTTCCTCCCCAAAGAGCCTGAGAAGATCAAGGCGACCTCGCAGAAACCGACGTCGAGGGGAGATCGATGGGAGCCATGAAGAATGGACGAATGGAACCAGGGAGGGTTGTGTTGGAGAAGGGTCGGGTTCTGGGGCCTCTAGTGGCTTGCTTGGAGACGATTGTAGATGATCTCTGACCCAATGAGTTGTGGGATGGGGTATCCTTGTTTCCGTGGTGCCTGGCTTGGTCTTCTTGCTCTTGTCTTTGCAATCCATCTTGGTGGGAGATTCTTCCCGCAACCCGGAAGGCCCGCTTTCCGCGGTGCATCCGAAAGCTGGCACGGTGCATCGGATGCCGAACTTTGCGGTAGGAGATGAAGTTAAAGGAGTTGAAGAACGGGCGCCTGGCGATGTTGGCCTTCGGTGGAGCCATCACTCAGGTGACTGGATGGGTCGGAAGTGGGCTGAGAAGAGGCAAAAGAGGGGAATGCGGAACTGAAACAAATCGCCGCAGGTGAGGTCTGAGGTCTGTGATTAACATCATTTACAGTAACATCCTTCACTTGATGTAAAACGGTGTAGGATTGTTGAGGTACACTTCAGTCTTCAAGATGCCTGACAGGGAGAATGCATTCATACAATACTTCAAGAAGTGTGCTAAGAAGCCTGCAGTTCCCTCTCGACCGTTCTAGTTCTAGCATTGTTAGGATGTTCCCTCAGGACAAGAGCTTTCTCGAATCTGCCAGGCCACGCTGACTGGCAACGGATTCCCTTGGCTCTATGCTCAGAAGGAGCATCAATGGATTTTGAAGGGCCCTGCGGGGTGATTGTAGGAAGCAGCATCAGCACCTCAGCCCGTACGCAACATGAGGATCGATTGCATCGAACTGCCGAAGCCACTGACGACCCCCAAGCAGCGTCAAATCGGAGCCCAAGAGAATCCAAACCTGAGTACAATGGCGCCATCCGCCATCATGGCCTCTCTCTTCACCCCGAGGCACAAACTCCTCATCATACATACTGGGTGCAAAACGAGCAAAAGGGACACCAAGCAACATCGGTCCCCCTCAGTAGCCACAGGTCATGAAAAGGGCCAGATGAACACATTGTCAAACAGTACAGATTGCTCTCTCCCTTGTTTGACCGACCGCTTTTTGGATCCAACCAGTGGTTGGACCACTGCGGACCAAGCGCTCCAAAGCCACCGCGCCCGACACCGCAGGAGTCTCAGACATCCACCTTCGGAGCCTCCGTGCCCAGCACCCGTCCGCGCGCGATGCTCGGAGGTGCCGAGCCTGGCGGGGGCCGGGGGAAAGCGGGAGGGGGCCGGGTGGGCGTGAAGGTACCGCGCGTGCGCGAGCCATGTGGGGAGGGGGGGCGGGTTTTTTGTTGCGGGTGCTTTTCGGGAGCGAGGCGAGCAGGTGCCAGCAGCTGGCCACGCCAAGGGAGCGAGCTTGGGGTGAAATGTTTGATTCTGAATCTCCCAAAGCTTGGCAGTGCGTCAGTGCGTCATTGTCGGTGGTGTTCGCCACTCCCGTTTCGCTTCCCCAGACTTCCAGACCTTCCTCGACCTCAAGTTCTCGGAATGTCTGTTGAGTCTGGAGGCCACCCTGGCCACCTTGCACGTTTCCAAACGACCCGTTGCCCGTTTCCCCCTACAAAGTTTGGACCAGTCCGAAAAGGTGTTCACCACCCCAAGTCCCGGTCGGCCAGTCCCGGCCCGACCATCCACCACTCAGCTCAGACCCGGGTTCGTCAGTAGGTGCCCGAACGAAGGTGCAGAGGCGGGTCGCTGGTTGGGGTCATGACGGTCATGGGTCATGTCTTGAAATCCTGTGATGGTCCTGGAATGTTTTGCACAGGAGCCAGGGTAACTTGGTCAAAACATTCCTTCTTTTACTATGAGCCAGGGTAAGCCAGGGCATTGGTCGGTGCGCAAAAACTCTTGCCCAGCCCTAAAGCGTTCTGGTCAAGAGACATCTGAGCAGATCTCAGAAAAACATGGTTGGATAAAGCATGAAAAAGCTATGCCGAAGCTTAGGAACTCATTCTGTTGGATTGGTCCAGATAGGTGGACAGGTGCAACTCAAGGGGCAAAGTGCAGAAGGGGCAGAGGGAAGTGGTCGCCTGCAAGTTCCTTGCCATTGATCCATAAGCATCCCCAGATAGATTACTTTATAATTTTTTGTGTTGATGTTCAGTCACCTAGGTCTGGACCAGACGAGAACCTATGATCTTCTTCGGCAAACAGCCCCTCATATAGGGCCAAACTAGGAGAGACCCTATTCCAAAAGGAAACTTCTTGAGTTCTGTTCACAATCCGAAGGAAGACTGTTTGCTTTCAGCGTATGTTGCTCTCTCCACTGACAAAGGCTCAAGACTGTGGAAGCGATGTTCCAGCCACGCAGAGCATTCATCGGACCAGGAAGAGACCGCACATCGGAGCAGGAATGTCCCTGAACAACCTAAAGTTTGAGTCTCAAGAGCAGAAAATCATCTAACCCTTGGTCGCTTGGACCGCTTGGATGGATTTCTTCTAAAAGTGGCATCACATCAGGGCTTTCACACTCCAGCGACTCCAGCCGGCCTTTTTTCGCACACATCCACCGCTCACGCCCTGAGTTTTCTCGCTCATTTCAGCATAAGCTGTGCGATGGCGCGCCGTGGGATTGCCACTTATGAGCCTCAGGATGCGCAGGAGTTCAACATTTTTTGGCAGGAGAGGTCTGCGCCCGGTTTGGCAGGAGGTGGCTTTCTGCGTGGGTCTGGTCTTGGAGGGCCTTGTGAAATTCTATTTGTTTTGGTGCGGGATTGGTTGGTTTCTGGGTTCATTGATAGGGAGGTATGAGTAGATAGGTGAATAGGTCATCATAGGTCTTTTGGTTGATGGCAAGATGGGCCGCTTTCCATGCTTCCAATTGTTGGATGGTTTGTGGACCGGACGGACGTTTCTGCGCGTGGCCTCGCCCGCGGCGTCGCTGAGGGTCCGCCGCGTTCTGTTTTGGGGTTTCAGGAGATCTTGCGCAGCAGCGATGACGGAATTGCAGGCATCAAACAGGCGCCAAGTCGTGGACGGAGTGGAGGGCAAGGCCACAGTTTCGCAAATGGATCAATCCTAGTTTCCTTTAAAACGACACAATGCCACAGACCACCGTAGAACACTTGGTTCAGTTTCAAATCTGTGACACTTTCGGAATCTCTCTTCTATATTCTTTCTATATTCTTTCTTGCATTTACGGCACAAATCTCACCCTCGCTTCCATCCACTTGTCACCTTGTCACCTTGCTCCCTTCACCGGTAAACCGGTTTCGTCCCGGTTGCGTCCGAAGCATCGGTCTGCTTACGAGTTGTGGGCCAGCCCTGAGCAGCTCCATGGACGTTCCAGTTCGTGGTGGCACGTGTGAAACTGAACAGCTTTTCAAAACAGAAAGCATCATCCGAGAGCGCTGGTAATGAACATCACTGGATTTCCAGTGCTCAGATTCTCGCTTCGAGAAAAGACTTCGAGTGCGCGTATTCTTCAATGTTTCTTCAAAATGATGGGGTGTCGCTATCGCAATCATCTGCCCAGCGTGTTTTAGTGCCCAGCGAAGAAGTGCCCACGATCGTAGGCTGCTCTTCAAGGCTAGTCAACGATCGCAAGCAGTTCAAATCCAAATCCGTCAAGGTCGTTGAGCGGCGACAGAAGTTTCCGCGCTCCAACGGTGAAGTCATGGTTCTTGAAGTCACGCCAGCAACAGGCTGGGCACTCAAGCAGATATAAAGAAGGACAGCCGAGCTGGGACGAGCTTGAGCTCACAGCACTACAAGTGTGGAGATCATTGAAGGTATTAAAAGCTTTTGACTTGCTGAAAATACTGTTGTGAGTCGTGAGTGTAGTCTTCGAGCCAAACAAAGAAACATGTTCCTGCAACGATGCGATCGCCAGTCTGGGGGATGATCACCCACCTTGCTCCGAAAACAGCTGCAAAAGCCGGTGTTCCCGGGCTTGTGGTCGAAATTCCAAATCACGCAGGATGAAACGCAAATTGATGAAGAGGCTTTCGTAGAATGCTGCAGAGTGACCAAGTTGATCATCCCAGACTCCGTGACCCGCATTGAGGGTGGTGCCTGGTTTTGTGTCGCCTTGATGCACTTGACCTCCGTGATCCGCTTGCGTACTGCAGATCGTTGGCAAAGGACTCGGTGATGCACATTGGGATTGGGAATCATGCCTTTCGTGATTGCAACACCTTGGTCAAGTTGACCATCCCTGACTCCCAGCAAGCCTAAGCGGGCCGCTTTCGGTTTCGGTGTGCAACCGAAACGCAGAGACTCCGACTCGATGGGGACTGGACGTTTTTCTTTTTTCTGGCATTCCAACAGCCATTGTTTCAATGGTCTTTACCGTAGACTTCAAAACCAGGTCAGGGTATATAACATGTGTATATATATATAGTGTTTGAAGGCTAGGGTATATGACATATAATATTATATATAGTAATATGCCATCTCCAAGGATGGACGATCCGAAGATGACAATTGATGCAGGTACAGCACCCTGAAGTGGGACCAGGAAGAGTTCTTCCTCGTGAAATTCCAAATGAGTTTTTTCCCCAAACTAACATACCGCCTAGTACGGGAACCACATTCTTCCATGAGTCTTCCAAACCCTCCCCTGGAAACGGCTATGTTGGTTACTTGTGGCACCGCTTCCTTATGTGGCTGGTGGTGCTTGCTGCAGCTCGAACATGAACCCCCCCAAAAAAGATACTAACGATTTCGTTCACACAGGGTTCTTAGGACAGTCCTTTCATTTCGATGGTGCCTCAGATCCATAGCTCATGTGTTTCTGTCCGAAAGCAAAGGAAGATAGGCTCGATCCTGTGGTCGACCTGCGAAGCAGAGTTTTTGTTTTATAGATTTTTTCAGCTGCGGAGGCCTATGATCTGCCCTCAAAGAGCAAGAATCACTTCGCAGAGGTCACGACAACCAACCAAGACCTCATGACTCTTGGCTTTTGTCGGCAGATTTTCTTTTGGACACGCGTGTGTGAATGTATGTGGCAGTGATGGGTATCGGAAAGCTGGCGTGGATGTGGTAGGAGTACGTCCTAGCTTGCCCCTTTTTTGATTAAATCGGAAGCTTCCTCCCACGCGAAACTGTTGCCCACTTCGAAAAAGATGTTTGCCTCCTGCTGCAGCACGCCTTCTCTACACGCCACCTCTGCAACACCCTCACATGTGTGAACCGGGCGTGCTCCCTGAACCAGACCGGGCGTGCTGGTTGCACGTGCTATGGCGCGCTTGGGGTTTTCGCCCAGGAAGCACCCGAAGGTCTTCACTTTGAGCGCCAAGACGCGGGAGCTGCGCACCGCGCTGGCCGAGCCCAGCGGCGACTTCGGGCGCGCGGGGCGGTCCAGCTGGCACTACAACATTGCGCGCCCGCTGGGACGCAAGGTGTGGAGCTGGGGGGGCTGGGGTGGGGCTAACCTCTGGGAACTTCGCTTGGAGCCCTGTAGTGCTCCAACCGTTGGACCCCCGCCTGGTGCAACCACGTGCAATCAACCAGCTAAAGGAACCGATTTCCTTCCTCCCCCCCACGGTCCATTGTGAGAATCACAGGGTTGAGACCCTTCGGGACACTCTAAACACTCGAGGAGAACAGGTGCCCGGTCCACTCTTCCAAGACGAATGCCCCGGAGCCTCTGGCCTCTGTGGTCACCATGCCCGGACCATCCATTGTTCCACACATTTTTCTGGTCGAATACGAGGACCAGCGGTCAAGTCCTGACAGCGCGTCCGCGCGTCCGCGCGTCCGCGTTCCTTGCGCGGTCAGGTGAAGCTGCACCAGATCCCCTCCGCGAAGTTCGATGGCAGCTTTCTGCACTCGGACTTCACACAAACGCGACACATCGCTCCTTCCGGGCGCGCGCCCGGTGCCGAGGCGCCGGAGTGGGGAGGGCAGGGGAGGAGTGCTGTGCCGCCGTTTTGAAGGGAGACGCTTTTTCTCAAGTCGCTTTTCGAGGTGGACGAGGCGAACCTCTGGCTTTTGTCTCATCAGGGGAGCCTGACAAGTTGGGAAAGGGAGATGCTACCCATTGAATTGGTTGGTTCTGGTTGCCTCTTTTTGCCCATTGAGAAGGCATAGTTCCTGTGCATTCTCAGAATGGCCATACAAAATACTATAGGGAGCGTGTGGGCAGCCATGCCCACACTGGAGGGTCAGTATTTCGGATGTTGGGCTTGGTGGGCAAAGAAGATGTCCACCTTGTGGGAATGGGAACAACTGATGCATCTTGCAGATTGCAAACCAAGGTTTTGGATAAACTCAGAGCCTATCTTTGTACCTTTCCACTCGAAGATGGTCGCTGTACCTCAGATGATTCGTTTGCCGAGGACGCTATTAGGAGCATTTCGGGCGTCGCTACGAACGGAGTACTAGAAGCGCTCCTGGCCTCACTACGAACGGAGCAATGTTCGCTACGAACGGAGCTTTCACGTCTCCGCCGGTCCTCTCCGCTGTCTCCTCCAGGTCTTGTCGGTGCTGCCCGAGGTGGGCGGCTCGCGGCCGCGCAGCCAGTGCACCGGCTCACGGCATTCGAGCATGGCGAGCACCACGCCGCGGCGGGCGAGGGTCGAGTTTGAGACGATCTTCAATCGCACCAAGCTGCCACTCGTTGGGTGAAGGGAACCCGATATTGGATTGGTCAGATGTGGAGACTGAGAAGACCCTTGAGGCCCCGGGGCCTTGAAAGGGTGTCTTCGTTCGTCCTGAGTCTTCCTGAGTCTTCGTTCGCTTTGGACCCTCGACACCTCGGAGCTCGGCTCGGCTCGGCTCGGGGGGGCTTGGTCGCACGCGACTCAGGACAGGCTGGGCGGACTTTTCCCCCACCATCCAGCATCCACGGCTTTGGTGAGAGCGACTGAGACTGATATCCGAAGACGAAGAAAAGGAGTTGACAGGTCAAAGAGTTGAGAGGCAGCATAGAAGGATTGCAGGGTGGGAGATTTCATGAGGCAGATATTTCTATCTATCTACATATATATATATATAATCTCATTGTTGAGACTGTTCATTCTATTGAGTGGTGTTGGGACACAACATCTTGGTAGGTCTTTTCCTGTAGTGAGACCATTGGACACCTATTATTGAGAAAGACGGTCCACGAAACAGGCTGGGCTTGACCTTGGCTCAGGTCGGCGGGCCGAGCTATGATGAGAGTTGCGTTTCGGAATCTTTTTTGGGCTTGACTTAAGTGTGAAGCCCGCTGAAGGCAGGTTGTTTCTTTGGTCCCGGGATGTCGGTGGCTGTCGAAACCGGGTGCCACCCTGCTTTTCTAGCGCTCTTCCAAGAAGAGCTCCTAAATGATCTTGGCCAACGTGCCACGAGCGAGGTGGGATGGATGTGGAGTCTGGCGTTTGATTGAACCATTTGGATCCATTTGGGTTGTAGGGCTGATAGGACTGCCTTTCCCATATCTGCCCTTTGGCATCACCTCTTCTCAGTAGGAGTGCCACGGGTTGCTTGAAGCAAAGCGTGGTGAGCAGCCGCCATGGCTCGAAATGCACCTGACTAGGAGAACCAAATGGGAGCATGGCCGCAGGGTGCGCGGGATGAACGACGTGTGGGAGAGCGAGAACGAAGTGACTGGGCAGAGCTCGGGGTGAGTCCAAAAGACTGGTCAGAACAGGTCTCGACCGGCCAAAGGGGACCACGAGGCAATCGAGAAAAGCCTCTAAGCCCTCGCGCGGTGAATTTTCAGCATGGCACTGCGACGCCCACAGGGATTTACATGGCCTCGTTGATGGGAACAATCACAGACTCTTGTATGAGAATCGCTTCATTTCTGCAGGCAGGCGGAGTCCAAGGGCTACAAGATGAGTGCAGCCGTGCCCTTCTTGCCCATGTCTCCTGCCCTGGAAGGCCTGCCAGGCGCGGGGGGGAGGTCATATGTCAGCTGCGTGCGCATCCCATGGGCTGCAGCCGTGGGACTGGCAGAGACAACTCACACAGGATGGGCAGTCACCGTATATACACCTGCACCATGGCCGGTGGACGGCTAAAGAACTCCCACGAAGGACCTTCGCGTTCGTCTCGCCTGGGACAGAGTGGTTGTACAAGAGATTGAACATCGAAAGGACGTAGGAGCCACATGCGGCCACCCCATTTGATTCTACCGCCACATGCACTAGTGGAACTGTTGAAATTCCTCCTACCCATGGGGTAGCTTGACCGGCACACAGCTAGCTTTTGGGCTGATCCTGCGTTATCAGCCCAAATCAATGTGCAACACTTGTGCTGCAAGATCCACACCCCTTCAGTGTGACAGAATGGTCTACTGATCACCTCGGTTTGTGCTGAAACACATGAAATCGCTTTCGAACCAGAAGCAGACCCAACGAAAGAAAAAACGTGTGTTGATGAACATCACGTGACTTTTCAGAGCTCAATTTCTCGCAACATTCCGATCAGATCATAGAGCATTTGAGCATGTGTGACCAGTGTTCAAATCACCTTCCCACTAAAAAGACCAGCCGAACATGCGTCCATGGTCGTGGACTGCTCTTCAAGGCAGCAGTGAAATCAAATCCTAATCTGTCAGGGTTTTTGAGCCATGGCGACAAGAATTTTTGCGCTACAGCCGAGCGGTGAAGTCACAGTTCTTGAAGTCACGCCAGAGACAACAGGCTGGGCTCTCAAGCAGCAGATAAAGGAAGGACGGCCTTGGGACGAGCTCACTTGAGCACTACAAGTGTGGAGATCATTGTCGGAGACAACCACTTGCTGGCCAACGATGCAAAGGTATTGGACGCTGGAATTGCTGAAGATACTCTTCTGAGTGTTGTCTTCAAACCAAATATAGCAATATGCTCCAACAAAGATGCGATCGCCAGTCTTGGCGGCATAGTTGACTCGCAAGATTTGCTTGCGGTTGTAATTCCAAGTGACGAAACACAAATTCTTGAACACGCTTTCAAAGATTGCCGCACATTGGCCAAGTTGACCATCCCAGAATCAGTGACCTCCATTGGGAATCGTGCCTTTGCAGGTTGCAGTGCTTTGGCAAGCTTGACCATTCCAGAGTCAGTGATCTACATTGGGGTTGGTGCCTTTGCAGGTTGCAGTGGTTTGACGAGCTTGAACATTCCAGAGTCATTGAGAATAATGCCTTTGCGAACTGCAGCCCCTTGGCAAACTTGACCATCCCAGACTCGGTGACCCACATTGGGGATATAGCCTTTGCAAATTGCAGCTCTCTGGCGAGCTTGATCGTCCCAGACTCAGTTTTGGTGAACTTGACCATCCCAGACTCGGTGACCCACATTGGTGACCACGCTTTTCAAGGTTGCAGCTCATTGGTCAGCTTGACCATCCCGAACTCAGTGACCCAGATTGAGCGATGTTCCTTTAAAGAATGCAGCTCTTTTGCAAACTTGACCATTCCGGACTCAGTGACCCACACAGGGAGTAGTGCCTTTCAGGATTGCAGCTCTTTGGCAATCTTGACCATCCCAGACTCGGTGACCCAGATTGAGCGATGTTCCTTTAATGAATGCAGCTCTTTGGCAAACTTGACCATCCCGAACTCAGTGACCCGCATTGGGGGTAGTGCCTTTCGGTCTTGCATCTCTTTGGCAAACTTGACCATTCCGGACTCGGTGACCCACATTGGTGACAAAGCTTTTGAAGGTTGCAGCTCATTGGTGAGCTTGATCATCCCGAACTCAGTGACCCAGATTGAACGATTTTCCTTTGCAGGTTGCAGCTCTTTTGTCAACTTGACCATTCCACACTCAGTGATCCGCATTGGGGGCAGTGCCTTTGAGGATTGCAGCTCTTCGGCGAACTTGACCATTCCGGACTCAGTGACCCACATTGGGAGTAGTGCCTTTCAGGATTGCAGCTCTTTGGCAAACTTGACGATCCCAGACTCAGTGACCTACATTGAGGATTTTGCCTTTGCTGGTCGCCTCGCACAAAAAAGCAACTGACATGATGCGGCTGTTTGAGGACTTTTGACGACCGTTCGGCATTGTCCAAGTTTGTTTTGTTTGCTCATTATATACTAATGTTTATTTTTTTCTGGTCTTGGACAGCAGGACAGGAGACAATCTTGGAACATGTCTTTTTGTTCGTCATGTTGGTATGCTAGCAGTTCCTTTGAGGGTCACAACCATTTACCTTGAAGGGTCCTTCTGAGATCTCCAGCCGCTTCCCAAGCGGTTACCACAAGGTATGTAGTATGGAGGCTTCCGAGCAAGGAACAGCATCCTCGAAGGAAAGCCTTCAATCTGTTCTAGGGAAAAGGTATGGAATATCGTTCTGATTCTGGCCATCTCTCCTGCCCGTCCAAGCTGCAGCTGCGGCACGTGTTCGGTTCGCCCTTTCCTCCCCAAACCCGTGCGTTTGGCGCTCCCAAACACTCCACGCTCCGCTCCCAGGCGAGGAGGAGGGCTTCGATCCCATGGGCTTCTCGTTGGCCATCGACATCCGTTGGCTCCGGGAGGCAGAGCGAGACGGAGGACGTCAGCGCGACGTGAGAGCGACGTCAGACCTGTTTGGCTTCCCAAAGCGGACGCGTCCGTCCGGGGTGAAGTGGCCAGTGAGAATGTGCTGGGTCTGAGAGTCAGATAAACACCTGCAGCAAGAAGACGTGCATGTTTTTATTTTCCCGGACCGGATGGATTGTTTGGCCGGGAGTTCTCCCAAAAATCATTGTCCGTAGGTCAGATTAGGTCAGCCAACCAGTTGGATTTTACCTGGATGGCCATGTATGAACACCACTAGCAGTATGAACATGTACTGCATCGAAAAGAAGAACTGGCCATCAGTTGTTGAAGTGTCCTTCTTCAGACCTACGTCGTCAAAAGGGGCAACTTTCCCCCGTGTTCCACCCCTTTTGGATGGACCAACAGCGTGGTGCTGTTCTCCCGGTGGGTGTTTTGAGGCTGAATGTGAAGGCCTGACGCTTGGAGTCATGCCTCTGATCACATGATCACAGGAATGGGAAACGGAAAGCCCTTTTCGAATGGTAGCGCACAAAAAGAGCATCTCTCTTGACCATGCAGCACTTGGTCACAAATGACGCATGCTGCCCTAATCCAGGCCTTCTTTGGCCTTCTTTTGGGTTGTGAAAGAATCAGGGAGCCACTGAGGACTGAGGTGTTTCTTCGTCCGGTGGCTCATGACCTGAGAACCGACAGGCGGCCAAGACAACCTTGACTAGGTTTTTCAGGAGTTTTTGAAGGGTCTGAAAAGGCAAATGACCTGGACCAGCCTCCTCTTTTGAGGAGGCCGACTTTAATGGAAAAACATATCATGGGATCTACCTAACACCAATCCTTCTGCATACCGGCTGCATACCAGCGTCTTGGGAACATCCCTTCTCTTTTTTGTATTAGCTTATCCTTTGGCTCGGTTGGCAGTTGGTTGCTCAGGCGGAGCTGAAGCACGGCCGTGTGGCGATGCTGGCCACCGTGGGCTGGATCGCCACGGATCTGGGTCGCGTCCCAAGGGGTAGCTGGACGGACATCGCTGTCTGTCGGTTGGAGACCATCGCTACAAAAGGGTGGAAACTATTAGGTTGAATTCCTGGGAGTCCAAGACTATTTTTAAAACGGTCTTTAGGTGATCCGAAAAGGAACTTCCTTTACTTGGGTGGTGCCTAAAATAGTCTTTGGACTTCCAGGGTGAAGTTATCTAAGAAACCTTTTGGAGTTGGATTTCTGGGAGCGGCCCGAACATTTCTCTGTAGAGGCATGTGTGGAATAAGGTGTGATGGCACAAGCTTTGTTGGAGCGCATCTGTAGATTTAAGAATTATCATCTCCAGTGCAAATCCTTTAGAACGGCTCTCCACTTCGCACCTGGAACCCTCACCAGCACGAAGAACGCCGCCCAGTTGCAGGAAACGAGACCCTTCCGAAGGGCCAAGAAGTCACCGCTGTCTTCCTGTGGGTGTCGCCTTTCTCCCTGGCTTTGCTGTCGAGAAAGGGGTGTCGTTTTGTTTGGAGGCAAAACGAACGTTTCCGCCCGCGATGGGTGCTCAAGAGCGCAGGCTGAACAACGCACGCACGCTCGGCACGCGAGCGGGCCGAGGCTTGCGAGTGCCGGGCGAGCCCTTCCAGGTTTCGACCATCGAGGCTCATGATGCCATGGTGAAGTTTGGCTCCATGCCGCAGACACTTGACGTGGAGTGGCAGTTGGTCGGAATTGGGTCGGTAGTGGGGCTGATAGGTGGGTATATCTTGTTTTTTCATGGATTTTGGAAGGTGTGAGTGGAATTTATGTGTTTGGCACTGGTGTTTATATAGATAATCCTAGGTGTTTGTTGATGCATTGAGTGTGAGCTTTGAGCGTGCTCAGTTCGTGGAACTCTGCGATGATGAAAGCAGTCTTCTTAGCAGATACATAGGCCTTCTGACCCCTTCTTGTGGTGGTTGTTGGGTGAAGCATGTTAGAAAGACGGGGTGAACCTTGTGCTATGGTCATGAGTTGGTTCGGAAGTTCTTTTTTTTCTCCAATTCTTCATCCTCACGTCTGCGAAGCAGAACGTCTGTCTGAGGATCCTGGTGTGGCTGGGATACTTGGAGCTCTTTGGCTTTTTGGCCATCATCAACATGCAGGAGGGCAAGACCGCAGCTCGGACCCAATGCACGGACCACCGCAGCTCTTGGATCTGGGATCGTTTTCAACTCCCCTACATTCATGTGGCGTTCTTTGTTGTTTGAAGGTGCCCATTTTGGCCTACACGGGAAATGCGTCTGGTGGGTAGCACGAGCCGCGAAAGGTGAACGGAGCAAGGATTTGGCATCGACAGACAGGGGTGTTCAGACTGCCAATTCCACTTCCCACCGTAAACACCCCCAGGCCTCCTCTCCTTCGACCTCCTGAATATCCTCTCCCGTTTTCAAAAGGTGCTTCTCTGGCCCACCTCTCAGGCGCTCCTCGTGTTTTCCATTCTCTTTTTCCCAAGTCGTATGGCCAGGAGCCCCATTCGTAGCGTCCTTGCTCCGTTCGTAGCGATGCCAGGAGCCCCTAGTAGCTTCTTGTTTCTATAGTAGTAAACCTCCTCTCGCCTCCCTCTCTACCTCCCCAAGGACCGAAAGCCGGGCGACTTCGGGCTGCGGGGCTTCTACCCCGCCGATGCGAAGGGCCAGTACGACATGCAGGCGTCGGCGGCGGCTGAGGGCGGGCCAAGGGCTCTGCACGAGTTCAGGTCTGTCGTCGGTTTGGTGTCCGGGTCGATGTCGTTGGTGTTGAAGCCGATGAACTCAATGAACGATCAAAGGTGAAAGATGGAAAACCAGAGGACCAGGGCCAAGCGTCCGTTTCTGAGTTCCTACTTATAAAGGGGGTCACGAAGATCATGAAACAGGATGAACAAGGGTTAGAGGTACCTTGCCTGGGATCGAGAATGGAACATCCGGGGGGGAAACTCACGGTTAGCTGTTTCTGGGAACGAACTCACCATAAAATCCCAGGTCTTGCAACAATTTACAGTAATGTTTGAAGATGTTGGAAGGGTCTGTTTGATTGGCGAGCTGTTTTAGATGCTTTGCGAATGACTGGCGGTTAGAAACAGAAGCCTCTCCAAGACCACACATCCACAAATCAGATCAAACCAAACTGGTTGCTTTAAGGGATGTCCCCTTGGCTGCTGGCTGCTAGCTGGGCAAAAGATCCTTTTGGTTTGCAAGTCCTTTCCAAATCAGGCTGGTTTGGTCTCCTACAGATGTAGGTCAAACACCACCCACTACCTGAGTCCCAGTTCTTCACACCTTGGCTCCTAGGGGGGGCCAAACCACAGGTTTTGCTCGCTCGATCTCCACACCGATGCTGTCAGGTGAAGGAGCTCCGAAACGGGCGCCTCGCCATGTTGGCCTTCTCAGGCGCGGCCGGCAGAGGGCGCGGTTTCGGTCAAGAGGTGAGAGGTGGGGCGCGGCAGGTTGGAAGGGGTTGGGCCTTCGAATTTTTGGATCTCTCAAAGCCTCCGAAGATTGGCCTTCTCCTTGAGACCTTCTCAAGTGGGTTTCGCAATGAGACAAATCCCCCTTTTTGGGAAGTGAGACGGGAGGTCGCCAGCCACGCACGGGGAGATGTTCGACGTCAGATTGGTGGGGTATGGGGCTGGAGGTGGGGCTTGAGGTGGGTTGGTCAATGGTGGTTCTAGCGGGGTCTCCCAATACCATGTTGGAGTAATATATCCTCTCCACCAAGTTATCGTCCAACAAGTTATCATCAGCATGTGAGTCAGGGCCCCGTAGTTGAGAATCACAGCATTCCTTTTTTTCTCACCGCATTTCCCCCACGAAATGCACGAGGTGTGGGGTCTCTGAGGAGGCATTGCTGGATGTCCTCTCGTTCCCTCTGCCAGGCATCGTCACCGTCGGAGTGCTCACCCAGGACGTGCTCACCGTTGAACATGGACAAGGGTCGAATGGCACCCTCAATCTGACTGTTTTCTTCTACAAACCAGTGGTATTCAGGGTCCATGTGAGCTTTCAGCGGGGTATATACGTTTCTTAGCGTTGACGGTTGATGCCAAACAAGACGTCCATCAGATGGGTGAAGCATCCCCACCTCTGGGTGGTTTCAAAGCTTACTCCCAAGCGTCGTTTTCGGCAAAGCAATGCGCATCACATCGGCTACAGGGCCTCTTGCAGCTGATGCTTCTTCCAGCACAGACTCGCCCCCCTGGGTGGAGCGACACATCAGACTTCGGATCTCTTGGTGGCCTCAGAACGAAGGGTTTTTTCAACTCCGTTTTTGGGACCCACACCGCGCGGTTGAGCAGATGCGAGGTTTCGAGCTTCTGGCTGATTCATGGTTGCCAACCCCCAATAACCAGCTTCAAGTGGTTTCAGGCGAAACATTAGATCGGACCGCAGCGTTTGTTTGTTTTTGCTTGCCATAGTGAGGGCAGTGTGGGCGCTGTGGGGATGGAAGTGGACAATCACAACACTTTAGTCTCTTGCAGCACTTGCCACCGAGTCTAAGCACCGGCTTGTAACTGGCCAGTCAAGTCTCTGCACCAACTGTTGCTCTTGTGGTATCCTGATTATATTAATGATCTAGATCCTGTGCTGTTGATATCATTGAGGTTTTGCTCAATCCAGTGACCTCTTTGTTTCAGAAAAAAAGGCCTTGCTCCTGACCTGTTGTATCTCTATAGATTTTGATGATGTTGCTATGCTTGGGACTTCTTTTACTCTTGCTTTGTTGCATTCTTGTTGGCAATCCGCGCCGCTAGAACCAACTGACACGACCAAACTGAGGGAAGTGATCCGTCCTTGCGCCTCACTGGTGGATAACTGTGGACACGTGAGAACCTTGTTTCACAGCCAGTCTACTACTGGGTTTCTTCAGTTGCTGTGACGGAGAAATCAGAGATCCACACCTGGTCGTCTGGCACGTCCTTCGGCTCAGTCGAGCTCAAGTTTCAGGCTTCGTTTCGGCTTTTTCGCGTGCTGAAGATGATCCACTTGGTTCATGGAAATGCCTTTGATTGACTTCAGATCCAGCTCTGGATTAATCCAGCGCACGGCAGAAGAACAAATCTTTCAGACTGACTCGCTTTTCCATGAGAACCTGATTTGTACTCAGCCTCCCCTGAGAGGTGCTGTAGCGTTGACAAATGTGCGTTGAGATGGTCATCCCATCAACTTCATAGCCATGGTCATAGCTCATTCTTTATGGGTATCCCAAACACCTTCTGGTGATCTCTTCTACTGCGGTTCCCAGATTCGCCAGAAGCAAGAGCCACGTGGTCAGTATTCTCTCACCCTGATGGGCCTACATCTCATTTATAGAATGCAAGCAACTGACATAAGGATCAGCTGAAATGCCTGTGGAGTGATTGTCAATCAGCCATGGCGATGAGAATTCCAGCAATGCAGGTCAATGGTGACGTGATCTATCTTGAAGTCACACCAGAGATGACGGGAAGAGAACTGAAGCAGCAGGTCAAAGAAGGAAAGCTTTGGGACAAAGCGACTTGTAGACTGGGGTGGAAATTCTTGTTGGAGACAGGCTGCTGCCTAATGATGAGAAGGTGGTAGATGCAGGGCTTGCTGCAGATAGTGTTGTAAGTGTTGTGTTCAAACCAAACATCGTGAGATGTTCCCACAAAGGTGAGCTCGCCGGCTTTGGACGTGACATTGACTTCAACTTTTGGCTTGTCGTTGAAATCCCCGACCATGAAGTCCAAATTGCTGAGCGGGCCTTCAAAGGCTGCAAGAGGTTAGCCAAATTGATCATCCCAGGCTTAGTAACTCACATTGGAAATGATGCCTTCCGGAATTGCATCTCCCTGGTGAGCTTGACTATCCCGAACTCAGTGACCCACATAGGGGACAGTGCCTTTTGTCATTGCAGCTCCTTGGTGAACTTGACCATCCCGAACTCTGTGACTCACATTGGGGTTGGTGCCTTTTCTCATTGCAGCTCCTTGGTGAACGTGACCATCCCGGACTCTGTGACGCACATTGGGACAATTGCCTTTTTGAGTTGCAGTTCTTTGGTGAACTTGACCATCCCGAATTCAGTGACCCACATTGGGGATTTTGCATTTGCGGATTGCTCTTTGGTGAACTTGACTATCCCGAATTCAGTGACCCACATTGGAGAAGATGCCTTTCTGCATTGCCCCGACTGTACCGAAGGAAGTTCTGAGGTTCGATGCATCCCGACTGTACCGAATCTTCGCCTTGGAAGGTGAAATTCATCAGATGGAGGTAAAGTCTAGCATTGTCAATGTTCTATCTTTCTGGCTTGATTTTAGGACAGGACCTTGAGCTGGACCCATTGAATGGGGTGGTTGTAATATGCTACAATTTGTAAATTGCTGCAACGTTTCTGTGATCTCGGCTGTTCTAGTGAGCCCATTCTTTTCAGTTTCCAAAGAATCAAGATCTTGGATCCTGGCATTCTTGGAGTCAAACTCTTCAAGCTCTTCACTCTCGATGCCGAAGAACATTCGTTTGCTGCTGTGGTTGTGGAACATGTCGCTGGGTGATGCAGAGGCATGTTTCTTTTAATGGTCGACCCTCTGACACAGGCTGAGATGGGCAACCAAAATATCATCTGCCAGCGGATTTCAAGCCCACGCCATGCAGTGGATATGGCCAAAAGCATCGGATCGGGCATTCGGTCTTGCAGATCTTGAGAGCTCGAAGTGATCGCTCAAAGATGGAGCAACTTCAAACCGGCAGGAAACAGATCGTAGTCATAGAAGTGGGGTGTCGCTCGGGCATCGATCGGTTGTAGCTGTAGCTCATTTTGTAGCTCATGTTGCTCCATGTAGCTCATTGGCAACATGGAGTGTACATGGAGTGTCTCATTTTCGAAGAACACCAAGCTCTGTGTGTTTCACATCCCACTTTTTGCCAGTAATGAAAAAGCAGGTTTCTTCAGTCAAAGAGACACGACTTTCCCACGGAAGGACGAACTCACCTCTGCCGCCCTATGCCTCTTCAGGAGAAGTGGCCCTTCTTCAACGCTGTGGTGAACGCGGTGTCCTCGCCGTCTAAGACGGTCCCGGCGCCCAGTGTCACGGCGGGCAGCCGCGGGCAGTGACCTGAAGCGCGCACGAGCAGTGGCCGTGTCAAGGATGAGACATTTCCTGGTATGACAAAATGAAGGAGGATCTTGGGATGAATGAATGAAGGACAACAGAAACTGCGTACTGTTTCATCAACTGGCCGTGTACTTTTGAAGCTACCTCTTTCTTTGCACGCCAGTTGATGCAACTTCACGACCCGGTCCCAGCCTGCTGGGTCGGGTGCTTCGAAACCAAACATGCTTGGTCCAAAGAGACGCACATGCAACCTGATGTGGACCTTGGGAAGACGAGTGGTCCGAGTGGTCTTGAGGTTCCATGTGGGTCTCTTCCAGGGCGTAGATCAGAACATCAGAGCCCTGGAGGGAGCGCTCGCTCGCTCGCTCTCTAGGCGCTGTGAACATGTAACGCCAAGTCTCCTGGCATGGAGTCTCAACTCGTCACCCTGAAGAGTCATTGTTCTAGGATAGTCACGTGGGCCGATTCGACAGCGGACGTAGCAGCTACACCACCGCTGTCTCCGGTTCACTCTGTGCCACTCAGATCTCCTCGAAGTCCTCCTTCTGTGGCGCAGCAGCACTCTCGGCCCGCAGCAACACCGTGGTACGCCCAATGGGAACGGGGTGAGAACGGTGGAGGGCTGGGCCATCAAAACATTACGAAAGTGTTTGCAGAGCTGCAGCCACAGCAATTCCGAACTAGCAGAATGGTATCTACTTGTTTCATCCGCCTTGGTAACAATTGCAATTTCTTCATATATATTTCTATCCATATATATATATATATACAGCTTAAACAAAAAAATATATATGTAGACAGCATACAGACTTCAACAAAAACATCAGCCTCTAATGTCACCGTTTCCTGCACTCCAAGGACAAGATTTCATGGAAAGGGAGGAAGATTTTTTGTACTGTGTAATGTCAGGAGACGGAAAAGGAGCTTGTTTAGTAAGACTGTACGATTGGTCTTCCTCGGGGCCGTGGGCTTCCAGGCTTCGTTAGCATGTGGAGCATGGTATGAGCATGGTATGAGCATGGTATGAGCATGGTATGAG